TTCATCCCTGGCACAAAAATCCGCACGACATCCACGTCGAAATCCGGAACGAAATCCTCCAGGACACTCCGGACCCATCCTATCCTTTTCCGAACGAAGTCCGCACTGCGATGTTGGCGCCATGGTACTGGCTGAGGAGGCAATGAAGGTGCAGGAGTTAGAGGCCTCCTAGATGGGGTCCGAGTAGATGGGGTCGGAGGACCTCGCCACATCGCCGATACATCGGCGACGCATCGCCGATGCATCCACGATGCGTCGGCGGTGCACTGGTGACGTCGGCGGTGTGTGGCGACGTCGGCGTGGAGAAAAGTGGGCCCCGGATCGAGCCGCATCGCCGATGCATAGGCGATGCAGCGCGACCCTCCGACCCCATCCACTCCGACCCCGTCCAGGAGACCTACAGTCCGACTTAATTGGACATGCCACGCGAGAGGACACAAGACCCTTCCGAGCGCCGCATTGCCATCGGCATGTAGGAGGCATCGGTCGAGAGACACAGGACGCGAGTGCACCCTTGATTTGGCAGGATCGACCTACTAATCATCGGGAGCGGCCAAGAGGGGGGTGCCCAAGAGGGGGGGGGTGCAAATCATGACTGGCGGCACGTGCGCGGCCCAGCGGGGGGGCCAGGGACGTAATGAAATAAGAGGAGGCGCCATGAAATCTAGGGAAACATCATGGCCCCCGCCATGATGTCCACCCCCCCTCTAGTCGTCACCCCCCTCCTTGCCGCCCCCGAAACCAGTGCCGGTACTCGTAGAGAGGAGGGGCCGCAGCCCGGTCCGACGCTCCCGCGCTCCTGGCGCAGCGCAGGCGGGCCGAGGCGCCCCGGGGCGCCGGCGGGCCCTGCCGGGCACCGGAGCTCACGGCGGAGGGGCCGGCGACCCGTCGGCGACGCCGAGCCCCTGGGCCGCGCCACCTCCTGGAGTCCCGAAGCGGTGCAGCGGCAGACCGCGCGGTGACCTCGAGCTCACTGAGACCTCACCGCACGGTCCGTCGGCGCACGGTCTCGGGCCCTCGGATGCCCCAGCCGCCCGAGGCGTCCTCGGAGCACGGCCCGGGTCCCAGAACCGTGCGGTGACCCCGAATTCCCCCCTACTCACCGCACGGCGTGGTCACCACCCCGTTTGGGGCCCCCCCGGCCTATTCTCGCCGACACCACATCCGGGGGGCCCACGTCTTCGAGTTGGCTGCGACGTGACGGACATCGTCAACCCCGCGAGGTCTACGCGCTGCAGACCTCGACGGCATGGAGCACTCCGCAGGAGTCTCCACAGCGGCGAGGCAGGGCAAGCGCAGCGAGATCGGGCCCGCGGCGGCGCAGCGGCGATCACCAAAGACCATCCATAGGCGACCTGTTTCCGTCATCGTGCGACGGGGGGCATGGCTTCGATTGCGACTACTCATCAAGGATCATGCAATATCGACGCGTGCGACTGGGCGCCAATCACCCTACACTTGACTCGCTGCTCGTCATCTCCCTCTCCTTGGATCCGAAGGCCTCATCAAGGACGATATCAACGCCAAGAAGTTGACCTCGCTCGCGGCCTTCCTCCACTCCACCTCCACGCCGTGGATCATCTGTGGCGACTGCAACCTCTCCGCCGACGTGCTCGAGAAGACGGGCTGACCCAAGGCATTGGGCGCGACGAGCGCGGTCGCGCTCTTGCCAGGCAGCCGCGCTCGCTTCGCAGGCGACGCCGTGCCGTCCAACATCGACCACGCGCTGGTCAACGAAGGCGGACAACGACTTCTACGCGGCATCCAGGCTGTGCGTGATGCACCGTGGAAGCCACATGTGGGATTGGTGATTGCATTCGAGGCGGCCGCGCAGGCGAACGAGCGCCGACGGCCCCCGACGCCTGGGCCCCCCCCCGCCCCAAGCGGCCGACGCAGCGCGACCCCGACGGCGAGTCGGCGACGAAGAGGAACCAGCGCGAGAGGCGCAGCGAGACCAGCGAGCCGAGCCGCCAGGTCAACTCAAGGGGCCCAAGGACACACAAATAAATACACACAAATATAAAAAGATCCCCCATATGTTCCCATACTTTCTGGCTTTCTGAATTCCCCCTCCACTTCCCGTATTTTCCCATATGTTCTGGGGAATCGAGGATGAATCGTGTCTGTGGGTGTTTTTTCCTCTCCTGGTCAACAGCCGAGACCACCCGGCGCACTGGAGACGGATCCGATGCGATGGGAGGCGTTGGGGCAGAGCGGCTGGACCCGCTAGGCTACCCTTCAGGCTCGGGAGCATCAGTCAGGACGTCGCCGCCGACGTTGCGGGCAGTACTTACATCCATATCCAGAGCGTCTTGGACTTTTTGGGAAGCGGTGCCGCAACGCCGAGGCGCACTGAAAATATGGATAAAATCAAGCCTCTTGGGGTCAGATTTTTATCCATATCCAGTGCGCCTACGGTTTCTGGGGAAGAGAGCCCAAGACTCAGAGACGCACTGCATGTGGATATAACTATTGCCCGGAGACGTGCTCGAGAAACTCGGCTGGCGCGCGCTGCTCGCCCCCGCGCCGGGAGGTGGCAGAGGGCGCTGGCCAGCCGAGCCCTTCGGTCAGGACATCGTCGCAGGACGCGTCGGCACCACCACCCGTTACCAGCGGGATGGACGTGCCAGACGTCGACCCGCTCCACGAGCTAGGCGAGGAGTTGGACACCATCGGAGATTCGCAGTCTGGCTCCGTTTCTGGATCTCGCGCAGAGAAGGTGCACGTGGACACAGAAGAAGACGCCCGCGACAATTCCAAGAAAATGTGCTGCGAGATGCCCATCATTGCCGTGCCAGCAGCCGCCAGATGCCCAACTTCGAGACCAACGACCCTCGTGCGAGCTGCGAGGGCCGCCTCTCTCGAAGGGCGAGGTGCGATGCCGAGGAGACCTCCTCGCGCGATTCGAGTTCCGCTGAGACGAACCCGACCGACGCGGATGCGGAAACTCAGCGGGCATCTAAACGTCCACATCCAGAAGGACAGCGGAGGCAGACAGGAAAGGAAAGCCGACGACCATCGAGATGCCGCCGGCGGAGAGCACACCCACGAACCCACGGCCCAGCGCCCCGCGCGGCCCTGGGCGCCTCGCCCTGGCCCGGCCCGGCCCCAGAGCGCGAGGGGCCGCCCGCGGCTGGAGGGGGCCGATCGGCCGCCGCGGCCCCGCCGATCGGTCGGGTCGGCCGGGCAGGCGGGTTTGGCAAGTGTGAACCGGCCCTGGGACACACAAATAGATACACACAAATAAAAGGATTCCCCATCGCTATTTCCTCATATTTTCTGGGTTTTTGTCTTCTCCCCACTTCCAATATTTTCCCATATTTTCGGGGGAATCGACGATTAATTGTGCCTGTGTGTTTTTCCCCTTCTTGAAAGTGGAAGCTCAGAGGGCGTCTGAACGCGCGCCGGTCGAGGAAGCCTCCGCACAGGCAGCGGGAGTGGGCGCGCCCTGACCGTGGGCAGCGCTCGGGAAGTTGGCGGGACTCGTGCGCATCGCCAGCGACGGCCGCGAAGCTCCCAAGTGCATCGGCTGAGCATGTTCTTGGTCTGGAGGGCCCAGGGTGAAATCCATATGGGCTTCTTACCAGCCTCGGACGTATCCCAATCCCTAAGATTGACACGCCAAAAGGCGATGACAATCTTAGGGATTCGCCTCCGAAAAAAACAAGGGAATCCCTAATTTTGGCATCGGGATGAGGAGGTGCCCAGCATAGGGATAGGGATATGTTCCAGGCTGGTAAATGTCCTCCAGCATCTCGAGACTGTTTTTTCGTTTTGTTCCAGAGTTGTCTCGCGGCGGTCGACGCGCCTCGCCCAGCTGGAGGAGGACCTCGAAACAGTCGACGCCCCGCTCTGGCAAAGTCAGTTTCTTGCTGCAGTCCACGTCCTCGCCCCCGAAGCTGGACCAGCGCGGCTAGCGCCGCGTCGGCTCGACTCCACCAGGCTGATCTGTGCGACGCGGTTCGTGCGCGTCGTTCTCCTGAATCCGTCAGCTGCGCCGTCTTGAGTTCGCGCGCCGCAGGGCATGGCCAGGCAGAGCAGGAGAAGCACTTCGCGCTTCGGCATGATCTGCATGACAGCGGCAGGCAGCACAGCGCATGGCCCACCCTGGCGAACAAGCAAGTCGGGGCGCAGCAATCGCTTACGAAGCCACCCTAGAGGCGCGGGCAAACTATTGATATCGACGGCGCGCCGCTCTGTAGCACCGTGCATGTGGTCAACGAGAAGGCCAGAGCCTTCAAAGAGGTATGGGCTTGCAGTGACGCGCTGCACCATGCCCGCGCGCAGTGCCCCGCCGCGCCGCGGGTCAAGCGCTAGAGGACAAATACGACCCCTGGATTGTTTTTTTGCCCGGACAGAACACCTGGGCGACACAACCCGAAGGGGGGTGCCCAAAGTGCCTGCATGAATGCACATGCAGTCGGACCTCGCAACACGAACGGCGGCACGGACCGCCCCCGGCGTTATCCGCGCCGCCAGTGCGAGGTGCCTCGAGATGCCACCCCGAGACACGGCCACCGGCACCACCCCCAATTGGCCGCCGGCCTCAAGCAGCGGAGGCCCCGCTGCCCAAGGACTTCAGTTCCCGCGCCCCCCACGTCGGGGGACCCCTTCGAGTAACCCCATCGGGCCTCTCAGGGGTGGTACGGCGGGCCCGCACCTACTGTGGCTGGCCAACCACAGGGCAAGAGTCTCTCCCACAGCCCCGTCGAGCTGTGGTGACGATCGGGCTGCCAACCCGCCTGTTTTCCTGGGACGCCACGAGGGCACACAGCGGCAAATACGACCCCTGGACCCTGGGGGACCTCGACATGCGCGTGAAGGGCGAGCTCGACAATGGCAAGGGGGCGGGCGGACATGATCTGCACGGGCGACATCAGACGGTTGCTCGCTGTTGGGCGACAAACGCTCCTCAACCTCTTCAACGAGTCCGAGGCGCACCTGGCCTGGCCGCGACAACTCCTCCTATCGGTGGTCATGGTGACGCCGGAACCTGTCAGAAGATCGCGCACTGGCACTTCTACCTCAACTTGTTCGTTGCTGGGACTTGCTCCACCGCGGTCGGGCGCGCAGAGTGGCCAAAGAGCGCGATCGAGTGGGGCGCGGCGATCGCTGGCAACGGCCGTTTACGAAAGTCGCTGAGGAGGCTCATCGCAGACGCGCGCGAGGACGCGCTCGGCGCGTGCGAGGCCGCGCTCCGGGGCCGACATCCAGAAGTTCAACGACAGCTTGAGGGTCGGCAAGGTGCGGTGCCTGCCGCGCTGGCGATGCAGTTCCCAGCGCGGCCGTTCTACCCAATGATGCTCCAGCACTCTCCATTCCGGGTGCTGCGGAGCCACGGGCCCTTCTCCTGACCGCTCTACGCGGACAGGTCCATCCTGGTGGGCTCGAGGCACTGGAACAACGCCGCCAAAACGGTGGCGCGCGCGACCGTGGCACAGCTGATGGGTGCGAGCAACATCGCGCCCTGTCCCACGAGCCTGGTTCGACGACATCAGCATCAGGATCGTGGGCAGCAGGTCCCATGCCATCGACGTCGCAGTAGAGGCCGCGCGCGCGCTGTTCGCGCGCCTCGGACAGCAGGGCCTCGAACTGGCGGACAACACGACGCCCCTAGGCACGCGCTTCGAGGGCGCGATGGACATCGGGCAGCAGCTGCTGCAGAGGGGCGCCAAGCTCAAGGTGGCACAGCGGGGCGCGACCTGGGAGCTGATCGCGCCACGCGGGGAGCCGCGACGAGACCGGCCGTGGGAGCGCGCCGGAAAGGACTCCGACGACGTCCGGGGCTGTCGGGACAGAAACTTCGGCGCCTGCGACTTCGACGACGAGCTGGGGTGTGTGTTCAGCAGGGCGCCACTGCGACCCTGAACGAAGGGGCCCTGGGACACACAAATAACTATACACAGATAACCGGATGCCCAACCTTTTCCCATATTTTCTGGGTGTTTGTCTTCGCCCCTTCCCGTATTTTTTTTCCATATTTGCCTGGGAATCGACGATTACTTGTGCCTGTGTGTTTTTTCCCTTCCTGACTGGAGCACGGCGCCGCCTCCCACGGTGCGGCGCCGCGCCGACCGCCGCGCAGCAGGCGTGGCGGCGCCGCGCCTGGGCCCCGAGGAGGCCCTGGCCAGGCCGCTGCCCGGCCGCTCACCTGGCCGTGGAAGGCACGGGCCCAGCCATCACAAGCCTTAGGTCGGGCGTGTCCCCCTACAGGGGGATTCTGGACGAACAAAGAAATAATATCGCCAACAAAAATAATCCCCATACTATTTTTTGACTGTTTTTGCATGCCCCAGAAACGGCAGGGCCGTTTTTTCACCGTCTCCAAAAAAAGGCCCCTTGAGAATGGAAACGGCCAGAAAACGGCGACCGGAAACAGCAACAGAAACGGCTCCAGGATTGGAACCGGAGCCGGAAGCGGTCAAAGAACGGCGACGGAACTGGAAACACAAAACGGCGTCGGAACTGGCAAAAAAACTGCAAAACGGAACCGGTAAAAAAAACGCCCCCCCCCCCCCCCCTCAGATGGGATGGGTCCCAGGGTCCACGGGCCCCCCCCCTCCGATGGGATGGGGGGGAACATCGCGCGGGGGGGGGGGGGGGCCCGATGGTACTAGCATTGGGGCCGGGGGGGGGCCAAACCCTCGACCATATATGGGGGTTGGGCTGGGACTCGCGAGGAACATAGGGGCAACGATAGGGAGGGATAGGGATAGGGGGGAAACATCGACCTGGAATCGGCGATACATCGCCGATACATCGGCGATAGGCCTCCGATAGTGATTCGGAACGTTCCTGGGGAGGTTGGGGCTATCGGACACCTATCGGCGATCAATGGGCGATTGGGGGTCGATGCATCCCCCCCTATGCCTATCCCCCCCTATCGTTGCCCCTAAGAACAGACACATGGCTAGACGAAGAGACGAATCGGTGGAAGTTCCCGCTGGGCGGAGATCAAGGCACCCTCTCGTCTTTTTGATGTCCGAGAGCAGGTGGTTCTGTCGGGTGTGTGGCACCACCTCCTCAGAGCACGGATCGGCGAAGATGAGAAAATCACGTCCTGGCTACCTGGGGCACAGCAGCCTGAGATACATACTGCGAGGCTGCACGCGACAGGCAGCAGAACGCGAGGCCTGGAACCCCAGCCCACCAGCTCGGCCGCTGCAGCACGACGATGCTCCCGACGCCAGGACGGACGCCGAGCCGGGGACATCGCGACCCGCAGAGGTCGGCGTCGCCGCGTGGTCTTGCCGGCAGCGGCCCGCACGGCGACCATTAGAGGGACTTCGGGGGGACTCGGAGGCGTCCGACGCAGGGCGGCTCCACTCGCCTCCGCCAGACGCGAGCGGAGCAGGAGCCGACCTCGGGGTCGCAGCGCCAAACGCACGGCTCCGGGCGCCTCGGCCAGGCGCGCGTGGAGAGAGAAGGGGGGTGGACCTCGGGGCCGTGACCCATTGGCCGTCGGCCCCGCGCGACTCGCCCCGACGCGCGCGGAGATGGGGCGGACCTCAGGGTCGCGGCCCCAGGAGTCGGGGGCGCGCAAACATGGATTAGCAATCCATGGATCTGGCGCGCGGTCGCCAACTCCATGGATCGGGGCAAATGCCCTCCCCAAAACGCGGCCGGTGCCGCCTCGCTCGGCGGCGTAAAACCGAGATGTCCCATGGAAACGGGACCCGTCGCTAGCCTACGCCCCCTTGATCCATGTCTGCGATCGCCTGAAGGAGGCGCTGCTCCAGGCGCCTTCGCAAGGTGCGCGTGGAGCCCCCCGGGGCGCGGCCATTTGCGGGCGGCCATTTGCGGCCAGTTGCATGTCTGCGATCGTCTGACTATTTTCCTCCCTCTCCCTCTCCTCCCTCCCTCGTGCTCCTCGCGTCCCCCTCCTGGCACCCGTCCTCCCGGCACTCCCCCGTGCCGCTCACGGCGCGAAGCTTGGCCCCCGAGCCACCGCCCCGGGAGCTGGGCGGCAGGGGGTACAGCCACTAGGACGGCCGCCCGGGGAGGAGAAGGACAGGAGGGTGCGACGAGGAGGAGGAGGAGGAGGAGGAGGAGGAGGAGGAGGAGGAGGAGGAGGAGGAGAAGGAGGAGGAGGAGGAAGAGGGGGGAGGAGGGGGGAGGAGAGGGAGGCGGAGCAGGAGGAGGACGAGGGGGGGGAGGGAACCAGCTCGAGGCGAGGAAGAAAAACAGGAGGAGGACGAGGACGAAGAGAAGAGGAGGAGGAGGAGAAGGAGGAGGAGGGGAAGGCGGAGGACGACGAGGAGGACGAGGGGGAGGGAGGAATAGTTGGAGGCGAGAAAGAAGAACAGAGGAGGACGAGGAGGACGACGAGGAGGGCGAGCCGCGAGCCGCGCCTGGTCACGTACGACTGGCGCCCGCTCGCGGAGCCCGCGTCCGAGGTGCCCTGTGGGAGGCCGCCCCGCCGCCGCAGCGTTGCGAGGCCGACGGTTCCCCATCGTCGGCCGAGGGGCGCAGCGGCCGTCCGGACCGCGGCATCCCCCCGTCGACCCCCGACGCGGTCAGACGACCATCCCCCATGGGAGGAGGAGGAGGAGGAGGAGGAGGAGGAGGAGGAGGAGGAGGAGGAGACCAGCGTAGAGGGAGTAGGAGGAAGATGAGGAGGAGGAGGAGGGGGAGGCGGAGGAGGAGGAGGAGCTCGTCCCCCACCTTATGCTGCTCCCATCGTGCCTAAAGGCCACATCCCAGAAATAGCTTCGAGCACCCGGAGACAAGTGTCGAAACGGTGTCGAAACAGTGTCGGACGGGTGTTTCCCCCGGGCCCGTCACGTGGAACCCTTCGAACTTCGGTACTTGTCTGGCACTCGACATTCTGGTGAGCAAGGCTAAAGCAGGGTTGGGCCATCATAACCCCCGCCTCGTTGCCCTTTCCTGGGTGCACCGCGGCGGCAGGACGGCCGTGGAACCCTTCGATCTTCGGTAATTGTCTGGTGCTCGACATTCTGGTGAGCAAGGCTAAAGCAGGGTTGGGCCATCATAAGCCCCGCCCCGTTGCCCTCTCCTGGGTGCACCGCGGCGGCAGGACGGCCGCCGAGCGTGGGGCAGGCCTCGGCCGCTCCTCCTTTTGCGGTTCGTCCTCCTTCCCCTCCTCCTCCTCCTCCTCCTCCTCCTCCTCCTCCTCCTCCTCCTCCTCATCCTCCTTTTCTCCTTTTCTCCTCCTCACCCATCTCCTCCTCGGTCTGCCACCCCCCCCTCGTTCTGACCCGCCTTCCCCGTTGCCCGCCCTCGCGGTGTTTCCTCAGGGGGCCTGCTCCTGACCGCAGAGCTGCCCACGGCGACGACAAAGCCGCACACCCACCGAAATGACAGCGAAACCGGGACCGACCGCCCAAACCCGCGGACCGAACGCAGCCTCGACGGGCGCACGAACGCAGCCGGCCGACCGAGACCGAACCGACCGCACGCAGCCGACCGCGAGGCGGCCGAGCGAGCCGCGTGGCGGACACGCCCGCGGGCGCGCCTGCGCTCGGCGGCGCGCCCAGGGAGGCAGGCGCGGAGGGGGCGGGCCCTTTTTTTCAGAAGGCTCCCACGGCCTCCTCCTGCTCCTCCTCCTTCTTTGCTTTTTCCTTCTCCTTCTCCTCCTTCACGTCGCCTCCTCCTCTGCCTCCTCCCCTTCGCCTCCTCCTTCTGCTCCTCCTTCTCCTCGTCTTTCTTCTGCTTCTAGCTTCCTTGCGATATACCTCGTAGAGCTCTCGGTATACGAAGAGCTAGAGGAATTCGGGCGCCTCCCACGGCCTCGGGCCTTCTGGGAGCTTTCTTTCGGGGGTGGGCAGGCCTCCCTTTAGTAAACCGTGGCTTAGCGAAAACGACCTCGGGCCCAAACCTGGCGGGCGCAAGCCTGGAGAATGACGGCCGCGGCGCCCTCTCGAGAACCGAAAACGGGCAACTCACTAATCGACGTGTCAGGGTAGGCGGTCTGTCCACCCACAATTCTTTCCAAGCCCCTCCGAAGACAGGACGACTTCTCCGAAGGCTGGAGGGTTTCTCAAGTAGCTCCGCCGCCTTCTGAGAAGGCCAGCCCCCCTTCGCCTCCCCCCTCTGGGGGAAAACTACGAACCAAAACGGGAGCTGTCGGAACTCCGCGCAGATGTCTTGGATCTGCGCTGGACCCCCTCCCTGGCGTGCGGAATGGCTTCGGTTCGAGCCCATGATAAGCTCACAGATGCACGCGTGCACGTACACACCACTGGCACGCACATGAACTGAAGAAGTAACAGTCACGCGGACCCAACTGTGACGTACTAAAGACAATGCTACACAATGACGTATTCAATGCGAAGCCAGGCAAACCAATGCAAGCAATGAAACGAATGCAATGCGTCGCAATGACAGCGCGAGTCAAAGCATGATCGTGGAAATACCATGCACCGGTCATGCAACGCATTGCAACTCAACGCAAACCATCGCAAGGGAAAGGGAACGCACATCAAATGCAACGCAACGCTTTGACCTCAAAAATATGGGGCGGCCATTGGGGTGCCGGTTCGTGCGATCGTTGAGCTAGCCTTGTGCCAGTATCGGGGCTTCTCTGAAATGCTGCTCGTCGTTTGGGTGATCTGCGAGACTGTCACCACTTTCACTGGCCCCTGGGAAGCCCAGCGGAGTGGTGTCATACGCAGACTAGAATGAGGCCTCGCCGTCCCTGGGAGCTGCGAACTGCGAAAGTGTCCCAACTTTCGTTGGTCCCCAGGAGGCCCAGAGGGGTGGTGTCATACGCAGACCAACATGAAGCCTCGCCGTCCCTGGGGGGCTGCGAGCTGCGAAACTGTCCCCACTTTCGTTAGTCATACGCCGATCAAAATGCAGCCTCGCCATCTCTGGAGACTGCGAACGGCGAGACTGTGGCCACTTTCGTCGGTCCCCGGGAGGCCCAGCGGAGTGGTGCCATACGCGGACCAAGATGAGGCCTCGCCGTACTTTCCCCATGAATGCTGCGATGTGCTGGACTTCCCTGAAAGTTGCGAAACTGTCGCAACTGTCAAGGGCTTCTGGGAAGCTCAGCGGCCAGCGGAGTGGTGTCATGCTGACACCAGAATGAGGCCTCGCAGTCCCTGAAGGCTGCGAACTGCGAAACCGTCGCAACGTTCGTAGGCTCCCGGGAGTCCCAGCGGCGTGGTGTCACACACATATCAGAATGAAACATCGCCGTTCCTTGGGGCTGCGAACTGCGAAATTGCCGCCACTTTCGCTGGACCCCGGGAAGCCCAGCGGAGTGGTGTCATACGCTCGCAAGAATGAGGCCTCGCCGTCCCTGGGGGATGCGCGCTGCGAAATCGTCGCCACTTTCGTTGGCCCCCACCCGGCCCAACGGAGTGGTGTCATGCGCAGGCCATAAGGAAGCCTCGCCGTCCCTGGGGGGCCCCGAGCTGCGAGACAGTCGCAATGTTCATGGGCTCCTGGGAAGCCCAGCGGGGTTGTGTCATACGCAGACCAGAATGAAGCCTCGCCGTCCCTGGGGACTGCGAATTGCGGAACGGTCACCACGTCCGTGGGCTCCTGGGAAACCCAGCGAAATGGTGTCACACGCGGACCAGAATGAGGCCTCGCCGTCCCAAGGGGCTGCGAACTGTGAGACGGTCGCAATGTTCGTGGGCAGACTCAGCGGATTGTTGTTCTACGCGGGCAAGAATAAGGCCTCGCCGTCCCTGGGCGCTGCGAACTGCTAAACTGCCGCCCTTTTCGTAGGCTTTTTGGTGGCCCGTCGGAGTGGTGTCATACGCAGACCAGAATGAGGCCTCGCCACCCCTGGTGGCTACGAACTGCAACAATGTCGTCGTGTTTGTGGGCTCATGGAAAAGCCCAGCACGGGTGTCATACGCAGACCAACACGAAGCCTCGCCGCCCCCGGGAGCTGCGAGCTGCGAAACAATCGCCACGCTCCTGGACCCTGGGAGGCCCAGCGGAGAGTTGTCACACGCGGACCAAAACTGAACCATCGCGTCCGCTGGGGCCTGCGAGTTGCGAGACAGTCGCTAGTTTCATGAGCTCCTCGGAGGCCCAACGGAGTGGTGTCATACGCAGACCAAAAATGAGGCCTCGCCGCCCCTGGAGCTGCGAACGGCGAGGCTGTCGCCACCTTCGCGGGCCGCCGGGAGTCCCAGCGGCGTGGTGTCACACACATATCAGAATGAAACATCGCCGTCCCTGGGGGGCTGCGAACTGCGAAGCTGTCCCCACTTTGTGGGCTCCTGGGAGGCCCAGCCGAGTGGAGTCCAACGCAAAAGGGAAAATCCGCCGACCCCTTGGGGATCATCGGCGTGTGAGATGCTTCCCCCTCCCCAAACCCCTCCCCCGGGAGCCCGGTCCGGTCGATTTGGAGGGGGGGGGGGGTCCGGCACGAGCGCAGCACGGCCGGGACGAGCGGTTCACGGGGCTTTTCCGGGCCCAAGAGGGCCTCAAGACGGGCCAAGAAGCCCCCAAGAGGCCTCCAAGACGGCCCACGAAGGCCCCGAGACGCCAAACGACCGCTCCAAGACGCCCAAGATGGCCCCAAGACGGGCCAAGAGGTCTCCAAGACGGCCCCCGAGGTCCCAAACAAGCCTCCCAAGAGGACCCCAAGAGTCTAAAATTGTTGATTTTCCATAGTGTTTTTCGATGTTTTTTGCTTTTCCGCCTTTTCGGCTTCCCGACGCTCCAAGACGGCCAAAGAGGCCCCCAAGAAAGCCCCAAGATGGCCCAAGAGGCCCCCAAGACGGCCTCCAGACGGCCCAAGACGGCCCCAACACGGCCCAAGAGGTCCCCAAGACGGCCCAAGAGGGCTCCAAGACGGCACCAAGAGGGGCCCAAGAGGGCGACCAAACATGTTGAAACTCTAGCTTTCTGCCCCCAGGAGCCCCAGGGGGCCCCAAGAGTGCCCCAAGAGGCCCCCAGAGGCCCTCACGAGGCCGCCCAGACGCCCCAAGGAACCCCCAAGAAGCACCCCAGAGGCTCCGAAACGGCCCCCAAGTAGCTCCCAAACTCGCTTTTCACCCCTTCGCAGCTTCTACTACCCCCAGATTGGCATAAACAAGGGGTCGGCGGTGTGGCGTAAGCCTAAGAATCATGTATCGCCGCCCCCGGGGACTCCGACTTGCGAAACTGTCGGAACTGTCGACGGCTCATGGGAGGCCAAGCGGGGTCGTCTCATACGCAGATCTGGCTGGGGCATCGCCGTCCCTGGGGGGCTGCGAATTGCGAAACTGTCGCCACGCTCGTCGGCCCCAGGAGGCCCAGCGGAGTGGTGTCATACGCAGACCAGATTGAGGCCCCGCCGGGGCCCTCTTGGGGCCCTCTCCGACCATGTCGGGATCCTCCGGTGGCTCTCTCGGGGCTCCCTGGGGACTCTCTTGGGCCGTCTTGGAGCTCTCTTGTGCTGCTTGAAGCTCTCTTCAGGCCGTCTTTGGGCCC